CGGTACAAAGCAGCGGGCAGAGAGTAGTCGGGTCACACGCCAGGTCAGCAACAGAAGGTCAGATCTAATTGGGGGCATCCAGGAGAGAGGTCAGGCAAAGCAAGGGTCTGGGCAGGAGAATACAACAAGGTCAGGTACAATCTGGGTCAGCAACTCAGAATACACAGGTTCGCAGATACAGGATACAGGGAAAGACCAGAAGGCACTGAATGACAGCCCAGGGCCGTTTAAATATCGCACCCTGCGCTGTCATTGGTGCCAAGCGCGCCCGCGGCCTCTACTGCGCATGCGCGGACTCGAATGCCGCGGCCGGCCAGGACCTAGTGCCCGCGTCCCTGCACAGGGCGGCGCACTACGCCTGCGCTGGGACCAGCGCCGCGGCGATCCCCGACAGAGACATTATATAATACATTGTATACATACAGGATCCATTCTAGAATACATTGTATACATACAGGACCCATTCTATGATACATTGTGTACATACAGGATGCATTATATAATACATTGTATACATACAGGATGCATTATATAGTACATTGTATGCATACAGGAGATATTACATAATACATTGTATACATACAGGATGCAATATATAATACATTGTATACATAAGGGATACGTTACATAATACATTGTATACATATAGGATGCATTATATAATACATTGTATACATACAGTAGACATGATATAATACATTGTATACATACAGGAGACATTCTATAATATGTTGCATATATACAGAAAACATTACATAATACATTGTATACATAATTACGTTACATAATACATTGTATACATACAGGATGAAATATATAATACATAATACATAAGGGTTGTTACATAATACATTGTATACATACAGGATGAAATATATAATACATTGTATACATAAGGGATACGTTACATAATACATTGTATCTTTTTCTCATTGCTAGAGCAGAGAAGTGTAAACCAAAAAAGTGTGTGTAAAAAAAATAAATAAAGATAAAATAGATCAGTGTTTGATTTAGGTCAGTGTCAGGGAGCCAAGGTTAGGGTCGAAGGTCGTGCTTACAGTCAAAGGTCAGGGTCGAAGGTTTGAGGTCAGTGTATTTTAGAGAGGAATTTAAAAAACATTTTTAATTTAGTGACGGTGTGTTTTAGGAAGGGATAAAAAAGGAAAATGCGGACTACTGATTCTGGGCCGTACTACGGGCACCAACCGCAAATTACACACATATGTGGTATCGCTGCAATCAACAGGGGCAGGAGAACTTATTTTGGGTTGTTCTTTGGTGGTGGGTAGTGGTCAGTGCAGGAAATATTCAGCTACATTTCTTTTTACTATTTTGTACCAGTTTTCATTTGATAATAAAAACATCAGGAGATGTTCATTAACATGTATCACCAAGTAAACGCCCAATTTGTCCTGAAAGGAAAAAAAAAAAAGTATAATCCACCCGGATGCAGGAAGCGGCTGTGATGATATAGACGGTTTTACTAACACATCTCGAAACTGCTAAATTGTGTTCAGGCGTTAGGATTATTTTTACCTTCGTCATGAAGGGGTTAAAGATTTGATTTTTCATTTCCGATCTTTAGTTCTCCATTCACTTTGTCTCAGACTGCAAAAGGCAAAATGTTCAGGACATGGCGAAAGATTCGTGTTGGACTTTACTGAGTTAGACACAAGAATGTCGATATATAAACTCGTATTATGAGCTCGGGTCCATCTCCCAGCTGTTGTGGAGCACCAGGTGTATGGTTTTCAGATGGTTCCTGGGCACCCTGCCCAAGTCTGAGACAGAATGCTGTACAGGAGGAGGGAGGGAATGGGGGGGGGGGGGGGCATTTTTTTTTGTTATGAATGTCATGGACTTTAGTGTGATAGGACCCAATACTGATAGCAGTAAAGCCCTACACTTAAGTTAAAGCGGTATTAATCCTGAAAGCCAAAATGTAATATATTGCAGCTTACTAATGTTTTAGATGTGGTGGCTGCATTTGTTTTCTTTTTAAAGTCTTCTTTTCCTTTATTCTCACCTGCTGATCCAGCCAGTAAGTCTGTTATTTTTCAGCTTCCTATAACAGACCAAGCTAACCAAACAAAGTGTCAGTTAAAAGTTTGAGATAACCCATTTTGGGGTACTATGTTACATAATATACTATAAACATACTATTTATTTATATATATATATATATATATATATATATACATATAAAACCTGGTTCAATGACCGTGGGATTACTGTGCTTGATTGGCCAGCAAACTCGCCTGACCTGAACCCCATAGAGAATCTATGGGGCATTGCCAAGGGAAAGATGAGAGACATGAGACCGAACAATGCAAAAGAGCTGAAGGCCGCTATTGAAGCATCCTGGTCTTCCATAACACCTCAGCAGTGCCACAGGCTGATAGCTTCCATGCCACGCCGCATTGAGGCAGTAATTGCTGCAAAAGGGGCCCAAACCAAGTACTGAGTACATATGCAGCTTCTACTTTTCAGAGGTGCGATATTGTTCTATGTACAATCCGTGTTTTATTGATTGCATGGAATATTCTCATTTTCTGAGATTGTGGATTTGGGGTTTTCATGAACTGTAAGCCATAATCATCACAATGATGACAAATCACGGCTGGAACTATCTTGCTTTGCATGGAATGAGTCTCATATATTAGTTTCACCTTTTAAGTTGCTGCACTGAAATAAATCAACTTTTGCACCATATTCTCATTTTTCGAGTTTCACCTGTATTGGGAGGAGTGGAGGGGACGGTTTGGTTGATATTTTGAGATTTTGAGGTTGGTGATGTTCCTGGGGCAGAGTTGTGGATAGCTTTGTGTTTATTGTTAGTGTTTTGCTTGAGGTGATTGTAGCCGTATTAGTGCATTGCGACAGAAACAATTGAGTATTGATGTGATACTTTTTTTAATTTGCACTAACATACAATTTTGAGGACAAGTTTTTGGGGAATGTCCCCTTCTTCAAGGTCCAGGCATATAGTATAGTATAGTATAGTACTATAGTACTGCCTGGACCCTGAGGAAGGGGACATTCCCCGAAAACCTGTCCTCAAAATTGTATGTTAGTGCAAATAAAAAAAAGTATCACGGACAGGACTCCATTGTTTCTGTTAGTGCTTTAAATTTCACACACAAGAGAAGTTTCCCCAGAGCTTAGTAAATGGGGTGAAGCTTTGCTGACTCCCAAAAGTGTTTTTTTTTTTTTTTTTCATTTCCCTTGCATGTGATTGGGTATTCTTTGCAAAGAGAAAAATGTATTTTCAAATTTTGATTAAAAAATCACTAATCTTCTGGGGCCAATTCCCTTGCAAAGTAAACAGCCTGTGTGCCTTCATTGAGTCAACCACATGAGGTCAGATGTAATTGGTTTGATTTACTAAAGGCAAATAGGCTTTGCATGGGAAGGTTCCCTTAGCTTAGTGAATGCGGTGAAAATGCTAAGGATACCCAATCACATGCAAAGGACAAAGAAAAAAGAAGCAACATTCTTCAGGAGGTCAGCAAACTTCACATCATCCACTAAGCTAAGTGCAAATTCCCTTGCAGAGTGAGCAGTTTATTTCCCTTTAGTAAGTCAACCCCCGATATCTCTTCTCAATGTGATTTTAAATACAGGAAAGGAGGGGAAGACGTCTTGTAGAAGAATTTTTTCACCTGAAATCTGACAGTTCAGCGTTGCATGACAATCACTATTTTACATCTGCAGGTTTCCTGAGCAATCCTTCAGATCTCAGATGGGATCCACATACACTATATTGCCCCAAGTATTGGGCCACCGCCCTTTCCCCACACATGACCCTTAATGGCCCCCCAGTCTTAGTCCGTAGGGTTCAATATTGAGTTGGGCCCCGCCCTTTCCACACACATGACCTTTAATGGCCCCCCAGTCTTAGTCCGTAGGGTTCAATATTGAGTTGGCCCCGCCCTTTCCACACACATGACCTTTAATGGCCCCCCAGTCTTAGTCCGTAGGGTTCAATATTGAGTTCTCCCCACCCTTTCCACACACATGACCTTTAATGGCCTCCCAGTCTTAGTCCGTAGGGTTCAATATTGAGTTGGCCCCGCCCTTTCCACACACATGACCTTTAATGACCCCCCAGTCTTAGTCCGTAGGGTTCAATATTGAGTTCTCCCCGCCCTTTCCACACACATGACCTTTAATGACCCCCCCAGTCTTAGTCCGTAGGGTTCAATATTGAGTTGGCCCCGCCCTTTCCACACACATGACCTTTAATGGCCCCCCAGTCTTAGTCCGTAGGGTTCAATATTGAGTTGGCCCCGCCCCTTGCAGCTTTAACAGCTTCAACTCTTCTGGGAAGGCCGTCCACAAGGTTTAGGAGGGTGTCTATGGGAAGGTTGGACCATTCTTCCAGAAGCACATTTGTCAGGTCAGGCACTAATGTCGGGGGAGGAGGCCTGGCTCGCAGTCTCCGCTCTAATTCATCCCAAAGGTGTTCTATGGGGTTGAGGTCAGGACTCTGTGCAGGACAGTCAAGTTCCTCCACACCAAACTGGCTCCTCCATGTCTTTATGGACCTTGCTTTGTGCACTGGTGAGCAGTCATGTTGGAACAGGAAGGGGCCATCCCCAAACTCCTCCCACAAAGTTGGGGGCATGAAATTGTCCAAAATGTCACCTTCACTGGAACTAGGGGGCCAAGCCCAACCCCTGAAAAACAACCCCACACCATAATCCCCCCTCCACCAAACATTACACTTGGCACAATGCAGTCAGGCAAGCACCGTTCTCCTGGCTACCGCAAAACCCAGACACATCCATCGGATTGCCAGACAGAGATGCATGATTGGTCACTCCAGAGAACACGTCTCCACTGCTCTAGAGTCCAGTGGCGGCGTGCTTTACACCACGGCATCTGACGCTTTGCATTGCACTTGGTGATGGGAGGCTTGGATGCAGCTGCTCGGCCATGGAAACCCATTCCATGAAGCTCTCTATGCACTGTTGTTGGGCTCATCTGAAGGCCACTGAGTGGGAGGCCAGTGGAGGGATTGGCAGAGAGGGGTGGAGGACACTGAGTGGGAGGCCAGTGTAGGGATTGGCAGAGAGGGGTGGAGGACACTGAATAGAGGCCAGTGGAGGGATTGGCAGAGAGGGGTGGAGGACACTGAGTGGAGGCCAGTGGAGGGATTGGCAGAGAGGGGTGGAGGACACTGAGTGGAGGCCAGTGGAGGGATTGGCAGAGAGGGGTGGAGGACACTGAGAGAGGAGGCCAGTGGAGTATTGTTTCTGACCATCTCTTTTATCAGGTCTGCAGTCTCTGACGATATGTTATATCATGCCCACAGCCTCTGACCATCTCTTGTATCATGTCTGCAGTCTCTGACCATCTCCTGTATCATGTCTGCAGTCTCTGACCATCTCTTGTATCAGGCCCACAGTCTCTGACCATCTCCTGTATCATGTCTGCAGCCTCTGACCATCTCTTGTATCATGTCTGCAGTCTCTGACCATCTCCTGTATCATGTTTGCAGTCTCTGACCATCTCTTGTATCATGTCTGCAGTCTCTGACCATCTCTTGTATCAGGCCCACAGTCTCTGACCATCTCCTGTATCATGTCTGCAGTCTCTGACCATCTCCTGTATCATGTCTGCAGTCTCTGACATTCTCTTGTATCAGGCCCACAGTCTCTGACCATCTCTTGTATCATGTCTGCAGTCTCTGACCATGGTGCGGCATAATACTTCCAGATTACCGTCTGTTATTTGCAGGATTCTTGAATGCACGTTGCAGCTTTCTTCTCAGCAGTTTGATATTTTCTGAAGGATTTTGTGGCACACAGTTTGGTAAAGGTAGCCAAAGAGTAAAATGGCCGGCCCTGAAGTTACTTAGACCCGGACTTCCACTGATGTCTGTGTGGGACAGGCGAGGACACCAATTTCTGAAGGTCTCAGGCGGTGCCAGGAAGATGCAGTATGGCGGAGGACATCCTCCACATCTGGAGTAGAGCCAGGCCAGGCCTTCACCGATCTTCTCTTCTTCTCTCTTTTTTTCCTTCTATTTTTAGTTGCTACTTTTTTGTGAAGACGGTAAATTCTCCATCTGTGATTTCTGGAAGAAGCGAAGAGGTGCGAGCGAGCGACAAATATAGAACGCGCAATTCAATGAGAGCGCCATATTAAACACGTCCTCACATGAATACTTATCACCTTCTCCGCTACGTGTTATCATGGCCAATTAGATTCTTGTAAGACGCACCATGTAGATGTGCCGGCGCTAATGACTCCAGCATTGAACCCACAGATTGTCAGGTAAGTACATGAGCGTGTGGGTAGGTGCAGCGTGGTGCGGCGGCAGAAAACACTCAGAGTCCAGGTCCCAAGAACTGAGATATACACTATTGCCAAAAGTATTGGCCAACCCTCCCAATCATGTATTGGGCCAATCCCCTCCATATCATGTGATTCAGGTGTTCCAATCCCCTCCATATCATATGATTCAGGTGTTCCAATCCCCTCCATATCATGTGATTCAGGTGTTCCAATCCCCTCCCAATCATGTGATTCAGGAGTTCAAATCCCCATATCCAGGTGTTCCAATCCCCTCCAATCATGTGATTCAGGTGTTCCAATCCCCTCCCAATCATGTGATTCAGGTGTTCCAATCCCCTCCCAATCATGTGATTGAGGTGTTCCAATCTCCTCCCAATCATGTGATTCATGTGTTCCAATCCCCTCCTCATATCATGTGATTCAGGTGCTCCAATTCCAATCCGCTCCCTATCATTTGATTCAGGAGTTCCAATCCCCTCCCAATCATGTAATTCAGGTGTTCCAATCCCCTCCATATCATGTGATTCAGGTGTTCCAAGGTGTTCCCCTCCTAATCATGTGATTCAGGTGTTCCAATACCCTCTTAATCATGTGATTCAGGTGCTCCAATCCCCTCCCAATCATGTGATTCAGGTGTTGCAATCCCCTCCATATCATGTGATTCAGGTGTTCCAATCCCCTCCATATCGTGTGATTCAGGTGTTCCAATCCCCTCCATATCATGTGATTCAGGTGTTCCAATCCCCTCCCAATCATGTGATTCAGGTGTTCCAATCCCCTCCATGGACACAGGTGTATACAATCAAGCCCCTAGGCATGCAGACGGCTTCTACAAACATTGGTGAAAGAATGTGTATTTGATGCGCTTCAGTTTGTTTTTCCCCCCTTTTTTTTCAATTTAAGTAGGGACATGTGCAGTCCAATGCGTTTTTGGTGGTTTTTGGTGCATTACCGTGTTCCAGTACAGTTCTATGCAGGAAAAACTAAGCCGGTTCTACTTTTTTCTCTGCACCCGGACCGCGCTGTTTTTGGCGCATTCCTGTGCGTTTTTGATGAGTTCCAGTTCGTTTTTCCCCCTTTTTTCAATTTAAATAGGGACACGTGCGTTCCAGTGCGTTTTTGGAGCATTCTAGTTTTTGATTCGTTTTACCGCGTTCCAGTGCAGTTCTGTGCATTAAAAATGCCGCCTGTTCTACTTTTTTTCTGCACCCGGAACGCACCGGAACTGCAGTCCCTGATGTGAATGATGACACTGACCACCATATCACCAACTTTCTGTGCGTTTTGGATGCAGAAAAAAAGCAACTGAAACGCATGGAGTATGAACGGGCCCTTAGTCTAGGTTCACACCGATGCAGTTTGCGTTTGATCTGTTTCTGCAGTGCGTTTTTTACTTGTGTTTTGATTCATTTCGCGTTTTAATGGGGCGAGGGGGGTTTGGCCAACTTGTTACTGGGCAGATTACAAATGCAAAAACGTGTCAAAAACGCATCAAAAAGGCAGCATCTCTTTAAAGTCTATTGCGCCAAAAAAAAAAAAAACACTGTTTTGCGTTAAGACTCTGTTCCCACCGATGCAATTTTATGGCTTTTTGCAGAAACGCACTACAGTCCATTTATCATGGTTTCCTATGGGACACGTTCACATCTATGCTTTTTGGAGCTGCTGCGTTTTTGGAAAGGGTCAGAGACTTTTTTTAAATGCAAAACGTTGTGTTTTTGGTTCTATAGAATGCAATGGAGATGAAAAGCATGTAGTGCGTTTTTTATGCGTTTTGCAAATAAGTTGAAAAAATGCTAAACGCGTCAAAAACAAGTCAAAAACGCATGTGCAAAAATGAGAAATGCATCAAATGCATCATCGCGTACCATAGACTTCAATGCAAAATCGTGTTCCAGTAGCTTTTCCATTGCATAGGACTACACAGACCAGCCTTCCCTCCCACCTCCATCAATGAGCCTTGGCTGCCCATGACCCTGTCGCTGGCTTTCCTTCCTTGGACCACTTTTGGTTGGTCTTGACCACTGCAGACCAGGAACCTCCCACAAGAGCTGCAGTTTTGGAGTTACTTTGGAGATCTCCATCCCATAGAACTCCTGTGGAGAGATCTCAGACCAGCAGTTGGGGGAAGGAACCTTCCAATCTGAGAGACCCGGAGCAGTTGGAGGAAGAAGAGCGATCCAAAATTCCAGTAGAGAGGTGGAGGAAACTCATTGATGGTTCCAGGAAGTTCCAGATATATACAAAGTTGGGAGCATGAAATTGTCCAAAATGTCTTAGTATGCTGACGCCTTAAGAGTTCCCTTCACTGGAACTAGGGGGCCAAGCCCAACCCTTGAAAAACAACTATGGGAAGGTTGGACCATTCTTCCAGAAGCACATTTGTCAGGTCAGGCACTGATGTCGGGGGAGGAGGCCTGGCTCGCAGTCTCCGCTCTAATTCATCCCAAAGGTGTTCTATGGGGTTGAGGTCAGGACTCTGTGCAGGACAGTCAAGTTCCTCCACCACAAACTGGCTCCTCCATGTCTTTATGGACCTTGCTTTGTGCACTGGTGGGCAGTCATGTTGGAACAGGAAGGGGCCATCCCCAAACTCTTCCCACAAAGTTGGGAGCAAAATGTCACCTTAAGAGTTCCCTTCACTGGAACTAGGGGGCCAAGCCCAACCCCTGAAAAACAACCCCACACCATAATCCCCCCTCCACCAAACTTTACACTTGGCACAATGCAGTCAGGCAAGTACCGTTCTCCTGGCAACCACCAAACCCAGACACGTCCATCGGATTGCCAGACAGAGAAGTGTGATTGGTCTCTCCAGAGAACACGTCTCCTCTGCTCTAGAGTCCAGTGGCGGCGTGCTTTACACCACGGCATCAAACGCTTTGCATTGCACTTGGTGATGGAAGGCTTGGATGCAGCTGCTCGGCCATGGAAACCCATTCCATGAAGCTCTCTACGCACTGTTGTTGGGCTCATCTGAAGGTCACACCAAGTTTGGGGGTCTTTAGCTATTGACTCTGCAGACAGTTGGCGACTTCTGCGCACTGTGCGCTTCAGCATGCGTTGACCCCGCCCTGTCATGTGACGTGGCCTATCACTTGGTGGCTGAGTTGCTGTTGTTCCCAGTTGCTTCCACTTTGTTATAATCCCACTAACAGTTGAGCGTGGAATATTTAGTAGCCAGGAAATGACTTATTGCCCAGGTGACCACCTATCACAGGACCACGCTTGGAGTCACTGAGCTCCTGAGAGCGACCCATTCTTTCACCAATGTTTGTAGAAGCAGTCTGCATGCCTAGGGGCTTGATTGTATACACCTGTGTCCATGGAGGGGATTGGAACACCTGAATCACATGATATGGAGGGGATTGGAACACCTGAATCACATGATATGGAGGGGATTGGAACACCTGAATCACATGATTGGGAGGGGATTGGAACACCACATGATATGGAGGGGATTGAAAATCACATGATTGGGAGGGGATTGGAACACCTGAATCACATGATATGGAGGGTTCAGCAGGCTGATAGTTCTGAAAAAAAACACCGCCTCCCACTGACTAGTGTGCGTGATCATTGTCTTTTTACTCTTCAAAACATCTTGTGTACTGAAGCAAAATTGCATTGGGTTCAACTTCTGTGTCTTATTGATGAGTTAAGCTGCCTGTGGATGGTGCCAAGTCAGTAAGTGACCGTCCTGTCCAGACACACTGGACTTAAGTTGGACATATATATATAGAATTTGGCAGGGACCGTCTGAGATTCGATCCATGCATAGGCAGGCCAATTGTACCAAAGCCGATCCGTCAATCGACTTGGGTTAAACCAGCCTGCTGGATTTTTTACTGCCGGTGGCTGTAGCTGCTAGCAGTAATCATTGTGTTCTGTCAGACGGGAAGCCTCCCTGCGCCCACGTGCCAGCAGAACACAATAGCCCTGCAAGAGGCATTCTCTGACTGTGGTGATGGGGGAATCTGACGATTTTCTGTCCTTCCATCCAGTCGCAAGTGATTAATACAATCTACTAAACTGGCCAGAAGCAGCTCTTGAGGGAGTCTATTCCACTTTTTCACAGCTCTCACTGCGAAGAAGCCTTTTCATGTGGAAGTTAAACCTTTTTTCCTCCAGATGTAAAGAGTGCCGCCTTGTCTTCTGTAATGACTTGAAGGTGATTAAAGTGATTCTAAAAGGTAATAATTAAAAAAAAAATGCTATACTTACCAACTCTGTGTAATGGATTTGCACAGAGCAGCCCCAATCCTCTTCTTTTGTGGTCTGCTGGCTCCTCCCCCCCTGCAAGTGCCCCCAATAGCAAGCCTCTTGCTATGGAGGCATTCAACCAGGCTTGCTTCTGAGCCGCGCTCCTGTGAATGGACATTGACACCAATGATGGGGAACAATTCCTCCCCATACACCAGCGATAGGGCACAATTCCTCCCAAAGACACCGACAATGGGGCACAGTTCTTCTCAATGACACCAACAATGGGGCTTAATGACACCAATGATGAGGTACAATTCCTACCAAAGACATCAACGTTGGGCACAATTCCTACCAATTGACCTTCCAATGGGGCACAGTTCCTTCCAATGACACCAACAATGGGGCCCAATGACACCAATGATGGGGTACAATTCCTACCACTGACACCAACAATGGGGCACAGTTATTCCCAATAACACTAACAATGGGGTCCAATGACACCAATGATGGGAAAAATTCCTGCCAATGACACCAACGATTGTGCACAATTCCTATCCCTGACACGAACGAAGGGGCACAGTTCCTACCAATGACACCAACAATGGGGCACAGTCCCTCCCAATGACACCAACAATAGGGCCCAATGACATCAATAATGAGGCACAATTCTTACCATAGACACCAACAGTGGGGCACAATTCCTCCCAATGACACCAATGATGGGGTACAATTCCTACCACTGACACCAACAATGGGGCACAGTTCTACCCAATAACACCAACAATGGGGTGTAATGACACCAATGATTTGAACAATTCCTCCCAATTATACCAACAGTGGGGCACAATTCCTCCCAATGACACCAACGATGGGGCACAATTCCTATCATTGACACCAACGATGGGGCACAATTCCTCCCAATGACACCAACGATGGGGCACAATTCCTATCATTGACACCAACGATGGGGCACAATTCCTCCCAATGACACCAACGATGGGGCACAATTCCTCCCAATGACACCAACGATGGGGCACAATTCCTATCATTGACATCAACAATGGGGCCCAGTGACACCAATGATGAGGCACAGTTCCCCTCACTGACACCAAAGATGGGGCATCATTTACTTCAACTGATGCTGGGACATTTTCTTCTCCCGATGGCCACAGACCACCCCCCTAAAGTCTGAATGACAGTAAACTGGCGCTTTGTTGAGAAATTTTGGAGACCTCTGGTCTAAGGGATGTCTTTTGAATAACTTTTAGAACTGGTAACAGGAGGGGGTTTAGGGTGATAAGGGATACTCCAATAAACATAAAATTAGTGAAGCGCTTGTATCTCATGAATACAATCATGTGTCTCCATAAAGTATAATAGTAAATCAAAGTGACCACTATATATATTAAAAATATGTGAACTCCCTCTAGTGGATAGAAAAAATAATGTCAACCGAAATGACTATAATGGCTAAATATCACACATTAAGAACCTAAATATGTAGTGCATAAATCAGATATACTAAACAAAGTATATATACATGAAAACAGAATAATTGGCCACATACAATGGTGTCTAAATCAAACATAACTAATATATG